CCTGCTCCCCCCCTCCCCCCAGCTGTCAGTGAAGAACTGCTTCATCCGGGGCTCAGTGGTCCGCTACGTGCAGCTGCCAGCCGACGAGGTGGACACACAGCTGCTGCAGGATGCTGCGCGCAAGGAGGCACTGCAGCAGAAGCAGTGACCTGTCCCCCCGGATGCCTGGGTTCCTGCCTCGGACCTGAGCACAGCTGGAGCCCACATCCAGACCTCCCCACACCCCTGTGTTCCTGTCCTGGCCCCCCCCCCAGGACACCTGGGCTAATAACTCAGAGGTGCCTGGCTCCTGCACTGTCTTGAGCAGCACTGGAGCCTACATCTAGATCCCCAGACACCTGGGTTTGTGCCCTTCTGCACACCTGGATCCCTGTCCCAGTCGAACAGCGGTGGAGCCAACATCTACCTCCCCGGACGCCTGGGTTCCTGCTCCGGTCCTGAGCAGAACTGGAGCCATATCTAGGCCCCTGGGTGCCTGGGTTCTTCCCCCCTGCAACTACTGGGGGGTTCCTCTTACGGGACCCCACCCCTTTTTTTCACCACACTCTTGAAGGCCCCTATTTTAGCCTGATCCTTTGTTGCACTGAGTTTTCTACCCCTCCTTTGGTTCTTTTAAGGCAGGGTATCTAGTCTCCCTGCCCACTATGGGATAGATTTCAGGGTCTGGGAGGGGGTTCCAGCACCTGGGGGGCAAACAGTCACATGGGGGCATCTTTGGGGCCTTGTCTGTGCATAGACTTGGCAGCAGGGCATTAAATTTGGGTATCTTCAACCTTTGATTTGTATCAAGGCTTGTCTGGGGCTATGGGGCCGGGAGCGGGGTACTGGCTATGGTCCTGGATATCTGGGTTCCTGGAGGTCCCCCGGGGCCTTGCAGCTAGGAGGGACTGGAATGGGGTGGGGCTCTAGGCGCTAAGCTATAAAGCTAAAAAAGGGGTGGGGGTGGAGTTTAGAATGGACTAGTCTATCTGACTTGCAGGGGGAGTGGAATGGACTAGTTTATGTAGAATGGTCTAGTCTAGCTACTTTAGATTGTTGGGGGGAGGGTAGAGTGGACTGGTCCACCTGGCTTGGATTGTAGGGGGTGGACTGAACTAGTTCTACTAGTTTGGCCTGCAGGGTCTACGGTGGACTGGTCCATTTGGCTTCTAGGGTAGAAGGGTTCTAATCTAGTTTAGACTACAGGGGCGTAAAGTGGACTAATCCATTTAGTTTTGTAGGGGTTAGAATGGACTAATTCAAATGGTTTGGATTGCATGGGGGGTTGGAATAGACTAGTCCATCTAGCTTGGAGTGCAGGGGGTAGAATGGACTACTCCATTTAGCTTGGTAAGGGGTAGAAAAGACTAGTCCAACCGGCTTGGACTGCAGGGGGGAGTGGAGTAGCTCATTTGCCTTGGTTTGTAGGGGGGCAGCATAGGTTGATCTATCTTGCTTGAATGGGGGGGGGGTTAGACTGCTCCATTCGGCCTACTTCCTAGGGGGAGGAATTCAGCCGGACTGATCCACCCGGACAAGACTGGCGAGGGGTTTCTCCCCCCACCCCCCTGCCCCACAGCAGCCAGCCCTAGGGCCTGTTTAGCCTCATCAAGAATCCACTGGGCTGCCTGGGGGCGGGAATGGACCAGCCCATCTGGGCTGGTCCATTCCCCATGCTGGGGTGGGGGGTGTCTCCATCCCCCCCCAGGGCTGGTGCTAGTCCCCTCTGCTCTGGTTTTATGCTCCCACATCTCAATAAAAGTGTGTTTTGTAGCATCCCGTCTCCCCTCTTCTTTCCTCTCCCGGGTTGCGGCCCAGCTGCTTGGGTTCTCTGTTCAGTCCAGGGCTGGCCTGGGGTTAAAGCGGGAACCGGGACGCCTGGGTTCTCCGTTTATTTCAGGAGTGGGGTGGGCACCGCACACCCCTCCTGTTCTCTCTGCATTTTAGGGGGCGGGCAAAATCCAGCCGGCCAGGCACTTCCGTCTAGCCCGCGGGGCCCGGCTATGGCCTGGAAGACCGGGGGCCCTCACTGCCCTTCCGAAAGCCGGCGTCCATGCCGCAGCGCGGCTCTGCTTGCTGAGCACCGAGCACCCACCCAGCCCACCTGACCCGCCGCGGCCCCGAGCCAGGGGCTGCTAGAGACGAGCGGCTTCTGCTGGCCACCCCACGGCGGCTGCACCAGGCCGGGAGCCAGGGAGTTTGCACCGCGCGATGCTGCGGGGCAGTCAGCTCTCTTGGGTGTGGGGACTAGAGAAGGGAGGGACACCTGGGCTCTCTGGGACCCTCCCAAAGAAGCCAGATGTTCCTCCCAGCCCCCCTTCTCTAATGCCCCATCCTCGCAGGGACATCCCAGTGTCACGTGGGGAGAGGGGCCTGGGGGTGACAACAGGGGCTGGGGCCGGGACAGCCGGGCTCTTCCCCCGGCTCTGCGCAGCCCCCGGCCCGCAGAGGAGCGCCCGTGAACCCAGGCGCCCAGGGCCCTTCCCAGGGGGCGCTATGACACTCTGTGATCCTGCCCAGCTGCACGGCCCGCGCTGTGGCCGCTCTATCCACCCCAGCACCTCTATGCCTCCACGCAGCTTCCTTTCTACAAGGCCCCGTTTTGCGGGTATCCTAGCTAGTGCCTGTCCATCTAGATAAACAAAGCCACGCCCGCATTCATGCTAAAGAGGGGCACGGCTAAGCCCGACCACGCCCCTCCAGCTGCCTAGTGAAGGCGGAGGGGGCGGGGCTGCGTGGCGCGGCTCAGGCAGTGCTGTGGTCAGCCCCAAGTGGGTCCTTGGAGTGTAGAGCGAGGCCGGGCGGCACACGTGGGGCTCTGGGAGGTAAGAAGGGGGCGGGGGGAGTGGTGG